GGAAGGTTTTCGGTCCAATTGTGCATGCTATTATAGTTTATTCCGAATGGTGTCCAATATTTAAGGTTTCAATAAATATTTTTCTAAAATCGATATAAATTGCAGAGAAACTTTTTATACGGTTATATTGCATTGTGGGGCTAGATGCTCATTTAAGATTGTTTCTACATATTTCAAATTGAAATAATTTCATACTAATAAAATAATACTAATAAAAATACTAATAAAAAATTATTACTTATTTCAATATATTAATGTTGGGCCACTTCACCAAATTAAATTAATTTGTTTTCCTTAATTATGGATAATGGTAAATGATTCAAAAAAATTTATAATCAAATAGAATTTCAATCATTCGGAAATTGTAGAATTTTTGATATGAGTCATTTCCATTCCGAATTTAGAATGAGAATCTTGTCTTCAAAGCTACCGTATATAAGAAAAAGCATATTTTGTGAAAAACCAGGTTATAACATTCCTAGAAAATTTATCAAGGGTAAATACGAAGATGAACATAATGTTTATAGAACAGATAGCAACAGTCTACCTTACAAGTCATCGAAAAATTATAAACGATACTAATTTTTAGGAAAATAAAATAACTTAAATGTTTTTGCCACGAAGAGAACAACTTGCCAAATTATGCGACCTTGAAACTTATATATAATAAGGAACTACTTCTGAAAGAAAAAAACTTAACATCGTCACAGATGATAAACGGTGATTAAAATTACTAAACCACAATAACGTTCGTATATTCAATATATGCTTAAATGAGCTAGTGGATCGATTGATCAAATGACTATTTTTGTTAAAATATAATAAGTTCTTGCAATACCAGGTCTAGGTAAGGTTTTAAATGTCACTTCGTTAAAGTATTAAATAGAATATACATATTTGCTACTTTATTTATAAATTGTTCTTTGAGATGTCTTCGATGATATATATCTTTGACCTTGATTTCAGAATAGATTTGATTTATTGTGAAACTCCTTACGAAAATCTTTTATTTTTGTGTGTTATCCCGAAAACGAATCTTTTATTCCAGTAAGAAAGAATGGGTTTTCAGATTTATATATATTTATGTGCAGAATATGGTGGAGATATAATGGTATACGTTTTTAATTTGGGCATATTAAGGATGCTTATGGTATTTGCTTATATTT